GTGACAGTGATCTTGGGATTGGGGAACAGACCTTTTCAGTCTACCTGCCTGAACAAAATCCATGCAGACAAAAACAAGAATTCTCCATGTTGGCTTCATATCACCCTATAGCATGTTCACCTCTCCAGCCAGTAGTGACACTCTTTAAAGTATTCTGTTTCTTCCTGCAGATTCCTTAATATGCAGGGGGCAAAAGTATTCTGTTGCCATTTTTCTACCTGGCCATTTTTTTCAGATCTCAGGTCACAGTGGGCAGGGTGAATAGATGAGTGTCTTGTTTCTGTGTCTCCTAGTGGTTCCTGGACCTTCCCAGAATGAGGTAACAAGAAGAACTTACCTGGGATTATCAGCCTCTTGTCTTAATCCATCCTTTGCCTTTGTCTCAAGTTGTGTATGATTTTCTTCTCCACTCAATTCTGGTTTTACAAGACTCTGACTGTGCCATTGTATTAATCAAACAATGATAAGTCACCTTCTAAATTCAGAGAACAAACTGAGCTGGTTGTTCCCAGGAAACGGAAGTTTTTTTCCTGTGTTGCTTCAACTGGAAAGCTAAGAGGAGGAGGTGGGGGAGGTCCATAGTGGGAAGTGGATACTGGCTGGCCTGACTCTCAGACTGGAACACGGGTGGGGCAGAAGAGTTGGGTTTCCTCTTGAGAGGTGAGGTGAAGAGAAGTCGTTTGAGGATAGAATAGCTCAAGCCCGCCTTCAAACCTGTTCTTCGGTTTCATTTTTGTGGTCCTATATCTGTGTTTCTAAGGACAAAAACAAACAAACAAAAAACTATACAAGTCCTACAAGATCAAATGCATTGATAAGGATGAAGAATTTCTGCCATTGAGAAGTGGCATTACTGACTTACTCCATGTTTCCCTTGGGTGACTGAGATAAAGCAAGCCAGACTCAGCTTAGTCACATTGGTGAAAAGGAAGAAACCTTTACTTTGCCTAGGCAGTATTTCCACTATTTGCTCACTCTCAAGACTACATGAGTAGGTGTGATCACCAACACCTGAGGAGCCTGCCTCCCACTGGAATGTCATAAAATTCTTTGGTGGCAGGAAGTGTGTGATTGCTGGGCAGATAAAGAATGAGGGCAAAGGGCAATGCTGGCACAGTGATGTGTTCCAATGTTGTGTCATTAAGGTGGGCAGAGCCAGGTGCTGTGGCATCTTATGGCACAGATTCTGAGGTCCTGTCTACTTGGATCCTCCTTCCTGTGGTGACCAATGTAGGTTGTAAGTCCAGTTACTTAGAGCAATAGGATTTGGTGGCTGTCAAAGGTAGCAGAAGCAGGTATTAGTGAGTGAGGTAGGGTGACCATCCCTCTCCTACTTATCTACAAGAATATCTCATTAGTGTCCTTGGATTTCAAAAGTATTATCATATGTCAAGATCTAGGTTAACCTACGCATGCCCTAAGGTGCTAACACTGGATTATTTCCAACACTGCAAAAAAAATAATCTATGTATTTTAAAATTAAATGCTGTTTGAAGTGTGCCTTTCTCCTAAGAATATTGTCAACAATTTCATTTGTGAGGACAGGAAACCGCTTCAGCTGTACTGAGATTTGTGTTTGAGCACATGGAAATCTGCCTCAGCCTGTATTTTATAGGGTTTGCTGTGGCTAATGTAGAAACATTGCAGCCTTAAAACTTCCTGTGCCATTGTTGAGAGCTTGAGGAGGTTCTGAGCCTGCTTTGACTTTGACATGATCTCTTTGACTTTGACATGTATGTTGAGTATCAATAAAAGATGCAGAAGATCCTCATACTCAGCCTAGGTATATGGCATTTGTCAGTGAACTATGCCTGTAAATATTTAAATAAAACCTAAATGTGGGTCTTCTTTTTGAATTACATCTTTTGGAATAACTTTTTCATCCCTTTTTGATATATATATATATATATATTATTCTTGCTAGTTCTCCTGATAGTTTTCTTCTTGAGAGTGTGAACTCAGGGCCTTGGGCTTGATAGGCAGATGATCTAGCACTTGGGCCAATGTCTTAGACATTTTTACTTTAGTTATTTTTCAAATAGTCCTGAATTTACGCTGAAGCAAGCCTGAACTATGGTCCTTCTGTGTACACCTCCATGTAGCTGGAGTGACAGACATGCTAGCTTTTTTATTGGCTGAGAAGGCATCTTGTGAATGTTTTGCCTGGGTTGACCTCAAACTGTGATCCTTCTAATCTCTGATCTTCTAAGTAGCTGAGATGATAGGAGTGACCCACCATGCCTGGTTTATTATTTTTTGTGTGTGTGAGGGTTTGTGGTTTGAGTTTTTCTTTATTTGCTTTAAACCTGAACTGTTGACTATTTTCATTTACATTAGTCATTCTATATGTTTCTTAGGAAATTCTTTTTTTTCTTTAAGAAGTATTATTTATTATTTTTGGTTTTTAAGTAAGTCAGTGTACTGTACTCATGTTCCTAGGTATGGTATTAATTAAGCTTCTATTTGTTTTACCACACATTTTTTAATCCATTTTACTTATATACAAATGTTAATTAAATATGTAGAGAAAAAATCTTCATCAACTAGGTAGATCAAATGCCAAATATAAACCAATAGCCATTTTTGTAATATCCTGAATTACAGTTAACTTGCTGAAATATGTCTGCTAAGGTTTCCAGGATAGAAATCTGTCATTTACAATTTCTTTTGTTAACTTTAGCAAGTTAATACATTTAATAGTGCCATACTGAAATGAACGGAGACATTAATTTGAATTAACACTAAATATATTTTACAGTATCTTTAAAACCACCAGCCTGTCTGATGTAAAGATTATGTATCTAATAGATTGAATACAATTCTTGATAGATGAGTTGATAATATCACATTCCACCTTCATAATTAAGTATCAAGAGTCTATTCTCATTCAACAGCTTCTTTAAGGATGAGTAAACATGATCTTAATTAATCTCACAGACAATGCTAGGGGAAGTTGATTGCTGCAGTAAGGAAAATAAAATGATGCAGCCTGACCTTAAGAAATGATAAATGTGGGAATGTTGACAAATGATAATAAGCAGCAAACATCCAGGAGAAGATTGGCTCTCAAATCAATATTGCTGGAACAATCTGGGTTTAGGTATTAATATTTAGAAATGCTCCTTTCTAATAGCTATATGAACTCAGAAATGTGGCAAGTCTTATACTTACAGGTCAAGTGAGCATTCCTGTTTTAGAACTTGGTATAATAGTAGCCTCTACTAAATAAGGATGGAACTTTCGCACATGCGCAAGCGTGTGTGTGTGTGTGTGTGTGTGTGTGTGTGTGTGTGTGTGTGTGTGTGTGTGTGTGTGTGTGTGTGTGTGTGTGTGTGTACTGGGGTTTGAACTCAGGCCTCAGGGTCTCATTTATTTGGCTTTATTGCTCAAAGCTGGCATTCTGCCACTTGGACCACTCCTCCACTTTTGGTTTTTTGATATTTGGAGATAAGAGTCTCCTACTTTGGGCTGGAAAGGTGGCTCAGTGGTAGAGTGCTTGTTTTGCATGCATGAGGCCCTGAGTTCAATTCCTCAGCACCAACCACATAAGCAGAAAAAAAAAGCCAGAAGTGGCGCTGTGGCTCAAGTGGTAGAGTGCTAGCCTTGAGCTGAAGAACTGAGGGACAGTGCTAAGGCCCAGAGGCCCAGAGTTCAGGCCCCACGACTGGCTCCTCCCCCACCCCCCCAAAAAAAAAAAAAAAAAAAAAGAATCTCATATTTTTCTGCCCAGGCTATGATGATCAGATCTCAGTCTCCTGAGTAGCTAGGATTACAGGCGTGAGCCACCAATGCCCCAGTTACAGTACATTATTAATTATTTTTTTTCTTTTTGGTGCTCATCCTGAGACTTGAACTCAGGGTCTGGGTGCTGTCCTGAGTTGATTTTTGTTTGTTTGTTTGTTTTTGTTGTTGTTCAAGGCTAACATTCTACCATTTGAGCCATAGCTCTACTTCAAGCTTTTTGGTGGTTAATTTGGAGAAAAGAATCTCAGGGACTTTCCTGCCCAGGCTTGCTTCAAATCATAATCCTCAGATCTCAGCCTAGGATTATAGTCATGAGGCACCAGCACCCAGCTTGCAGTGCATTCTTAATGACAACAGGTAGGAGAGCCCTGACCAGTACTGTCACAGGTGAACCAGAGGAAGCTCTACTGCTGGGTTTTATCACTATTTCTAACTATTGTACTGATGGGGAAGAATAAAATGAAAATGAGATGTCTAATTCACCATCAGTGGGTCTTGTATTTGACTTACTCTTTGAGGCTTGTGAAAGTTACTTTGAAATTAATTAGCCATTTTTATAGTTTTCTACTGACAGAAACAGAATATCACCTTGTGTTGTATTTAGTAATTAACGTTTATGTACAGGGTACTAGCTGCTCTGCTTGTGCAGTGTGGCCATCACCATTATTTTAATACACTGGTATTTGCTTTTGGGATTCTGAAGCATGAGCCTTAGCAAGGAATTTGAATGTAGTCTACAAGATGAAAAATGAATGAGTGGTGAGGTATATTTATCTTTGGCATCGGCTGTTCTATTGACAAAAGGCACAAATATGAAATTTGTCTAAATAATTAGATTTTTAATTAGAGCATCATTGTAAGATTAATGTCACTGCACTTCATTGCATGTAATTTTCTATTAGAAATTTCATGTCAACAAAGATGCTACCTGTGGTTTGCTGATTTGAATTCTTAATTTATCACTTATGTGTATGGCGTGCTGTACATTTGCAGATGCGGACAGGAGCTGAAAGGAGGCATTTGATTATAGGTCCACTGGTGGTGATGAATATTGATGATGTTATACTATATGAATACATTATGGTTTCTGATATTCAGGAGACAGGCATCCCTCAATGATTAGTGATCATATTGTAATTTACAATAATGTTAGCAACATCATGACTAGATATGGAAGTATATACCAAATACATACATACTTGAGCAGTGTTGGTGCTATTCTCCTTTTAAAAATTGTTTTTCTTTTCTTTTGACAGTTGCCGAACAAGTAACCGGAAAAGCTTGATAGGCAATGGCCAGTCACCAGCATTGCCTCGACCACACTCACCTCTCTCTGCTCATGCAGGTAAGCCATTTTTCTTTCTTGAGTTCTGTCTCATTTCTTTTGTTCTGTTTAAAAAAAAATTCAGGCCTTCTGGGTCTCAGGGGTGTCTTTGCATCTATCTGGGTATTCTTATTGCTTTGTTTTTAAATTGTTCTTTTTGAATTATACAATTCCTTTCTATATATGATTCTGTTTCAGTTAATTCTTCCTCCATTTCTAGATTATGAGATGATGCAAGGTATGTTCTTATATTAGGAATACCTTCTGAAAATGTAGATAAAATAGCTCACAGGAAGAGGATAAGTGTTCAGAATTGTTCAGCACATTTCTTTGTAAAACTGAACTTTACTGAGATAGCCATTGTGAGAGGATAAAGACTAAAGAGGTGAAGCTTTGAGCCTCAAATGCTTTAAAGAACTACAAGGAAGGTAGAAGCACAGTACAAAAACTGTCCAATGAAGACTGCTTTGTATGATGTTGGTTTTATTTTTTTTTAATTTCAAAGTCGATCAAAGTGATGCAAAAAAGTAACTTCCAATTAGGAAATTTTGGGAGTATGAAGGAGTAATTTCCCCAAAATATTGAAAGATGACTATAATTTGGACAGGTAGAAATGATTCAAAGAGCTTTGAGATGGATTGCCAAGAGAACATAAAGGTGGAAAAGAAAATCAAGGTCATCGATAGAAGGAATTTTGACCTGAGTGTTTTTTCAGGACCAAGAGGAAGATCAGTGTTGAAGGAAGGATAAGAAATCAAGAGAATAGACCTAGTTTATGGCCCTCTTCATAAACACTTGAGTTTAACTTGGTAGGCTTTCACGTGGTCTTGATTTGTTTTATAGTTAATGCCTGCTTGTCACTGTCCCTCCTCAGGAAGTTCTGAACTTCTGGTGGTCTCAGATGCATGCGAGTTGTCTGTTATGGTTGGCCTAGAAGGGAGAGAAAAGTCATCGCTCACATTTTACTTTAGTAAAAAGTAAATAGCGGTAAAGTTAAAATGCAGAAGATCAAGTGATAAAATGATAGTATTGTAAGTTGACCACTAGTGCCCAGAAATGCTTTAAAGAATGTCTAGTATGTGGAGGCATGCTTAAAACTCTGCACAGATGCATCTTGGTGATGGTTGACCATTCCAAACAACCTAAATCTCAGTTGGTTTGGAACGAGGTAAAAAAAAAACTAAGGCATAGTCATACAGAGAAAACAAACTATCTCTTAGCATCTGTATTAGCATATAGGAAACTCAAATATAGTGTTGAGCGGCAAAAGCAAATTATAAAAGAATATTGTATAAATCATTCATATAAAGTTAGCATGGTTCTACATACAATATTTTGTTTGGGGGGTATATATAAATTATATTCTATGCATTATAATAAATACCAATGTTCTACATATCAATTGTATATACTTACATGTATATATTTGTAGTAAGAATTTAAAGAGAGAGAGGGTAATTTTAAAGACCAGCTTTATGATAGTTACTTCTGAGAGGTGGGGGTGATGAGAATAGGGAAGGTTGAGCCTGGATGGTGTTCTAGTTTCCAAGCTGTGGAGTGAGTACACAATTACTTTCATTGCTACTATTTATAATTTTGAGGTTTATTACATCATTATCATATAGTAGATATCTATAGAGTGTAAAACAAAGATAAATGTCCTATTCAAGGACTGGAATTATAGCTTTATATGACGTTCATTTCTTTAACACCCAGCACAGTGCCTGGCTGTATTACTAGGCTGAGTGAATATTGACTCTTATATGTGAATCAATAGTGTGTGTGTGTGTGTGTGTGTGTGTGTGTGTGTGTGTGTGTGTGTACATGTCTACCCTGGGGCTTGAACTCAGGGCCTGGGCATAGTCCCTGAGCTTTTCTGCTCAAGGCTAGCACACTACCACTTGAACCACAGTTGTACTTGTAGCGCTTTTTTTTGGTGGTTAATTGGAGAGAAGAGTCTCACTGAGTTTCCTGCCTGGACTGGCTTTGAACCACAGTCCTCAGCTCTCAGTCTTCTGAGTGGCTAAGATTGCAGGCATGAGCCATCGGTGCTCAGCATAGTTCTTGTTGTAGTATTTTATAGTAATTTCCTCATCTCTTATTGTTTTGTAATGACTTCCCATCCTTTATGTGCCTGTTGATCAATCTTTTATTGCTGTGATTTTCTTCAGCTTTAATATTGAACAAGGAAGAAAAATGTGGTTAAGACTTTAATGATCCTTTAAATTATTTCTCTCTTCTCTACCTAGTCTTAGCATGAATTCTTTTCCCTTCAGCATTAATTTTAGAACTAATCAAAGGAATGGTCAGGATGAAACCTATTTTTCAATCTATACATGGTTTTTGTTTTTTTTTTTTGTTTTTTTGAGAGAGTGGGTGGTATAGCCCATGGTAGCCTCTAACATTCTAAATTGTGATCTTCCTGCTACAGCATTTAGAATTCTCTCAGATTTTTTTTTTTATATGTAAGAAGTGGTGTTCATCATTTACTAACTGGTAGATTCATATTTCTGTGTGGAAAAAAAAGAAAATGTTAATTCAATACGAGGCTATTAAATGATAGGCCCTTCTTCATATCTGAGTAATCTGCCATACCATGTTATTTGCTGAACCTTTACCTCTTCCCTCCGTCCTGTCAACATGTTTCCTATCCTGTGTTAGGTGCAGAGGGTCAGGTGAGAATTCCTAGCTATTTCCATGAAAATAACACAAAGAAAACCCACCATCTCTCGCCACAAATATACCCAGAAGATAGCTTACTTTTCTCTTTTCCATAGGGAAGGATATTCACACCCTGCCACTCTTCCCTGGCATGAGTCTCCACACATCCCGGCCCGAGTAGAGACAGCACATTCATTATTTGTGTAGGTGTGTCAGGAGAGCTGGGAGGCTGTTGGCATGGTGTTCTGAAGCATGTCTTCACATACGAAATTGTGGTTGTGAGAAACTGCTAATAAAATAGTCAACAAGACGGTTCCATTCAACAAAGAAAGACAGAAAACATCCACAGGATCCTAGTTCCAGGAATATTCTAAGCATGAAATATAATCCAGAAATTTTAAGAGAAGACTCCCGACTTTCTCCTAAAATGAAAGTTTCTATAAAATAAATCAAAGTGTGAAAAATAGTTTTATGCCTATCAGATTGTCCAAAAGCACAAAGACCTTGAGTAAATTGATGTGAAATAGTAGATGGACTAATAGAAAGGTGAGGAAAAGGTTTCAATAGCATGTCATAGCAAAAATGGCCAACAAAAGCATACAAAATGCTGCTTCACTGCAATTCTAAGGGAAATATGAGCCAGGAAAGTGCACTGGCATTATTTACCTATAAAACAATCATAGCAAGGACACGAAGAAAGCTGGACTTCTACAGGACATAAGTGTTGGTGAAAATCAAGATAGTCCATGATAAACCATAGTGGTTTACCGTGTTGGTTAAAAGTAGTTCAAATGTGTTAAGAGGCACCAGTGGCTCACACTAGCTAATCAGGAGGCTGAGATCTCAGGCTCATGGTTCAAAGTAAGTCTGAGCAGAAAAACTCTGTGAGACTCTTATCTCCATTTACCCACCAAAAAAGCAGAAGTACAGCTGCCGATGAAGTAGTGGAGTGATAATCTTGAGCCAAAAAGCTAAGGGACAGACAGCATCCAAGCCTTGAGTTTAAGCCCTAGTTCTGGAATGTTCACACACACACACACACACAAGGAAGGAAGGAAGGAAGGAAGGAAGGAAGGAAGGAAGGAAGGAAGGAAGGAAGGAAGGAGGAGAAAAAGGAAAATTCAAATCTGTTTACCCTTTGGCCCAGGACATGTATAGAGGAGAATTTATCTTATAGATATTCTCATAAAATAAAAGGAAATTATAAAGGTAATATTGTAACTAGTAAATATAATAATAACAATGAAATAATACTAAAACTGTTATTAGTGTATTTTGTAACTTGCCCTTCAGTTGTGAACTGGTTAAATAAATAATGGCATCTAATTCATCACTGCATGGTTATAAAGAGAATGGTGGGCTTTTGTGTAATTGTGTTGAGAAGATACCCAAAGAAACAGTGAAAAGGTACAGGTAGTAACTGCATGTGTGTGTTGTGTGTATGTGTGTATGGGCACATGAGTTGTGGAGTGTGCACACACAGCATATACTTATGTATTTGTGGATATGCATTGGGACTTTGTGCAAAGAGAAAGGGGGAAGAGCTGTTTACTCACAGGAGCGAATAGAAAGGTAGGAAAGTTAGCATATAGAGCTTTTATAATGGAAAATAAGGCTCTAAAAATAAATCCAAAAGAAAACAAAATATTTGCAGAGTTTTCTTGTTGCTATGAAACACATTACCAAAAAAATGTAATGGCTTAAAGCAGATGCATTTATTAATCTTCTAGCTTTGTGGAGCAGAAATTCTGGGCAGGCATGCCTGAGTTCTTTGCTCAAGAGCTATTAAGTCCAGGATCAATGTGTTGATTGAGTGGAGCTCTTCTTTGGTAGCTGGGAAACTGTCTACTTCTGAGCTTATGCAGATTGTAGATAGATTCAAATTGTTGCCTTTGTAGGACTGAGGTCTTGATTTCCTCCTGACTGTCACTCAGGGCTGCTTTTAGCTTCCAAAGGTTGCCTGCCATCATTTAGCCAGCCATGGCATACACTTCAGACCTGTCTTGTCCTCTTTGCACTAGCCAAAGTAAACTCTTTTAAAGAGCTCACTCTCAATCTCTCTCTCTCTCTCTCTCTCTCTCTCTCTCTGAATTTATCTTCCTCTCTCAGTAGAGGTTAGTACCTGGGTTTGAACTTAGGATATTATGCTTACTAGGCAGGTGTTCTGCCACTTGATGCACATCTCTAGCACATTTTTTTTCCTCCTTCCCTCCCTCCCTCCCTCCCTCCCTCCCTCTCTTCCTTCCTTCTTTCCTTCCTTCCTTTCTTCCTTCCTTCCTTCCTTCCTTTCCTCCCTGACTGCCTTCCTTTCTTTCTTTCTTTCTTTTCTTTCTTTCTTTCTTTGTTTCTTTCTTTGTTTC